TGTGTGCAGAGAAAAACCACAATAAAGGTTATCCATCTGTCATCTAGCATCCCAAAGTGTCCATTTATACAAAATGACGGCAAGACTTTTATTCATCTATATAAACAAACACACACACATGCACCACACGTATATATTAGTCCATCTTGATTATATGGTGGAGAAAAGAGTCTTGAGGGTGAAAAAGGGCTTCTTCTCTGCTCATTTAGTTTCACCCTCCCAAATTTCTCCCGTCTGGATAAACCCGTTTTCCATTCGCTGTTTCATCCTGGAATGAGTCAAAAGTGAGCTGGCCGGGTTTCCAGTCTCGGCTGGGCTCCTGATTCCCGCAAAGGGCTGGTCAGAGAGTGGTTTTGCTAGCCTGTTCCTCTCCAGTGGCTTGGAAATGATGGGTGTTGTAGTCTAAGGGAGCCTGGTTTACAGGCAAACCCCGGAAGCTCTGGCTGGTATTTTATTAGCCCAGTTGCAAAATCCTTCTCAAGTGGTGCAACGTATTTCTACTTTGGAAGTGTTTGAGCCTCCCGTGCCAATCCTGGAGAGATGTTTTGCTCTACAGGGAGACCTCGACAAGAGCAGTTTGCTTAGGGACCGAAGTTACTAATGGCACCCAGAAAAGTGACTTATCACCATTTTTCACACTCACGGCCGTTATTATTATTATTATTATTATTATTTATTCAATTTTTATCCCGCCCTTCTCCTTACCGGACTCAGGGCGGCTGACAGCCATATAAAACAGATACTACAATAAATACCTAATTTAAAACCAAATTAAAAAGAAATATTTACTATGGCCTATATAATTAAAATTTCTCTTAAAACCCCACTAAAAATTCCCTAGGGCAATCCCGCTTGTTGGAAGAGCCATGTCTTTAGGGCGCGGCGGAAGGAGGGGAGATCCGGGATCACCCGGATCTCTGGGGGTAGTTCGTTCCAGAGGGTGGGGGCTCCCACCGAGAAGGCCCTCCCCCTGGAGGTCGCCAGCCGGCACTGTCTGGCTGACGGCACCCTGAGGAGACCCACTCTGTGGGAGCGTACCGGC